CTTACACAATAGCTTAGTGTAACATTTTCCCTGTATTTGTGGGTTTATGATAGTGGCTAGTGAATAGCTCTTTAGGCATTCCTTAAAATTAGGATACATATTTTGACCACCTCTTCTTTTACTCATTGACTCCTTCTTCCCCTCCCCAAACTTCTTTTCCTTACAGAATTGGTGATCTCACTATTCACTTAACAATTCTCAAACGTACTGTCATTCTTGGCTCCTCCCACCCAACATTTTGCCTTCATTAAGTCCTAGATTTAACTTTCTGAAGATTTCTGTATGTGTTCTCTTTATCCCTTCTGCAAACCTCGTTCAGGCAACTGCTGTAACCTTTTTACTTGTTTCCCTACATCCATTTTACTTTCTTCAAAGTCATGTTTCACAGAGCTAGCTAACCATGTAATTAATTCCCTATGTAAAAGGTTTCAGTAGCTCCCTGCTGTGTATGACCAAGAACATAGTCTTCAAATTAATAAGACTTGATTTCAAGTCACAACCCCAATGTATTTTGATTACATTTGCCCATTTCTCTAGTCTTATTTCTTGCCTCAGCTCCCTGTACCTTGGGTGCTAATTCTCGCCCCTCTGCCTTTGTTCATGCTGTTCCTCTGCAGAGCCTCTTCTGGTTTCTAACTCCTTAAGTGTGCATATCTGCTGGGATTGGGTTTGGTGGTCATTTTCTCCCTGAAACTTCTCTAATTGCCCCCCAAACTATACATTCTGATTTGGTGTGGATATTCTTTGAGCCTCCATAATATCCTCTACTTACTATTCTCACTACACTTCTGCATTTTATCATAATTTCCAGTTTGTGTCTTATTTCCATCATATATTAAGTTTCCCATGGGCAAGAACTGGTTTTTAAATTTATCTTTTTATCACAATGCGTGGCACATAGAGGACACCCAGTAAATTGTGCTGAATAACTTACTAACATTTGTAGGAGAACCACCTGAAAACTTATAGTGTCCAGACTCTATATCAATACATTTAAAACAAAACTGATCTTTTTGCCATAAAACAAAATTCCATTTTCTGCTTCTGGTGACTAAGTTGTTTCTATTAGGACCTTCCACCCCTAGAAAGTTTTGTTCATTTAGACAAGTTCTCCCTGACCCATATCAATAAATTACTTTAAAAAGATGATTATTTACTTAGATTTTAACATACTTATTTTTAATCTATTATAATTTTACATTTTATGTATATATGTATATATGTAGTACTTTCTTTAGTTGACATTATATACATTAGTTGACATTACAACGATATTCAAGAATACTTTGGAATAATCACCTGTCATACTTCACCTTAACAGTTTTTTTGTTTATTTTCTTTTATAAGCATAGTTGCATAGCTACAATCACAGCGAACATAACCATTTCAGATCCTTCTGCACCATTTTTCCTTTTATTTTTAAATCAAGGCTTGCATTGAAGCCTCTTTTGGCTTCTTCGAGAGCACACCATCCTGCATGTTCCACAGTATTTTCCCACAGAAAAGTTGACGGAACAGAAGCATGAGCACCTGCACACGCCTTATCTCAGTTTGCCACCACTGACGTGTTGCAGCTGCTTCGCCTTGCTCATCTGGGCATGTTCCCTCCTCTTACTCCTGTGTCCACATGTTGTTTTCTCAGCCATTTGAAACTGTATGGCAGGTATCATGACCCTTCACCTCTAAATACACCAGCGTGTATCTCCTAGTGATAAAGATGTTTTCTTACAAAACCACATCATTATGACCCTCAGGAAGTTTAACATCAATACAGTATTACCTGATAATTTATTAATATTCAGATGTCTCCACTTGTCCAGTAATATCCTTAAAGCTTTTTCTTCTTTCTTTAGGTCCAGGACCCAATCAAGGATCACACTTTGCATTTACTTTTCAGCCACTTTGGTGTCCTTTCATATAGCAGAGTATCCCCCAACTTTTCTTTTTCTCTTACTTTTAACATATATTGAAAGAGCCCAAGCCATTTGTTTTGTTTAATGGCCAAAAATTTAATGAACAATTAGAAAATCTAATGTCGTATTCAGGGTAAACATTTTTGGCAAGAATACATTATAAAAGATCTTTCGCAGTGCATCTCATCAGGAGGTCACTGTTATTTATGAATATTGTCACACTTTAAAGATGACTTCTGTGTCCTTTTGACACTCCAGTAGTCTGTCAGAGCTTTCTCACTTTGTGGTAAAATAAGATGTTCTGTGTTACTTTGGTATATTTCATGATCACACATGGATCAGCTATTTCTTCAAGAAGCCCTGTTTCCTTATACTTGAAAATGATGTTAGAGACCATAATCTGGGTTTTAGGGGTAACTGTTTCTACTGAATTGGTCTGTTTCCAATCCTCTTCAATGGACAGAATTAGGACTGTACTTTAAAGAAAAAGAAAACTTACTTACTTTATAATTAAAAGATAAGATTCAAGATTTCTATGTACCTGATTTTATATTTTTATCTTTCTTATGATGATAATATTGGTTCCTAATTTATATGACCATAATTGCTTGCTTTTTCCTACTATACATTAATTTCAAATAACAGTATCTATTTTATTGTTAAAACATGGTAACTTACAGCTTAAGATTTCTTTGTAATTATCTAAGGAATATATCAGAGTCAGATTACTGTGCTTAAAGGTCATCTCAACTCTGTTCACATCCACTTTCATAGGTAACCATTATTAGTTTAATAAATTTCCATTGATAATTTAAATAAATTAAAATTCATGTCCCCCTTTTTTAGATAAAAGGTAACATACTATACACTATTTTGTACTTTGCTTTTTCACTTAACAGTATATCTTAGAAATCACTCACAGCATTGCATAGAGATCTAGTTCTCTTTTACAGCTGCATAGTGCTCCATTGTGAAACTATGTCACACATTTAGATTGTTTGGTCTTTTGCAATTACTGTATGACAATCTTTATTTAAAAGTGGTAAACACTATGTGACATATATACTTACACAATAAAGTTATTTACCACAATAAAGCCATAAATCTCTTTAAAATGTTAAGGGACAAAAATGAAGTAGAAATTTAGAGAGGCTATCCAAACCAGTTGAGTTTCTGGAGCACTTAACAAGAACCCCAGAAAGCAGATTTTGGCTTGAAATGGGTTTCTATGCTTAAATATTAAAAGGATGCTTGAAATATCTTTATCTTTTGATCCTAACATAGCATGATAAACATTTTAAATCTGAATGTAACAATCACTTTTCTCAGCACTGTTATATTTCCTGTATTTTACTAGTCAGCAAGTTATGAAGTTAAAATAGCTAGTCATCTTTTGGTATCTGTTTCCATTTTACAAGGAAAGAATAGGCTCAAAGAAGATTCCTTTCCCAAGGTCACACAGCTAACGAAGACATAGGCGCCCTCTTTCATCTCAGTGCAGTGCTTCCTGAATTGTCATTACTTAATTGCAGAATTATTTAATAAGTGTCTTCTGTGTGCTAGGCACTGGGAATATAATAATGAACACAACAAATTCCATGTCCTTTCTCAAAGATAATAAAGGAGAAAACCACACAATTATCATACAGCACAAGGTGAGCTAAAGTCAAAGGACTGTGGGAACAATAGAGAGGGGTTGTTTGAAACAATATATTAATATTCAGAAACATCTGATAGGTGGTTCAGCTTATATTTCTATAATTGTGTGAGCAGAACCTAAGCTTCCTCTCCATCTTCTTTGGAACCTGCACCCTAAGCTCTGGAGAGAACTTGTTTACCCCAGCTGTGGAAGCAGATCTGCCATTTCTCCTTCAATGGCCCACTGAAGTCCAGCATATGTGCAAAGTTCCTGATGCATTGTAGATGCTAAATAAGAGTGTATTTAGTAAGTTAATAAAGGTGCCCCAAATCAAGCTTTCCTACTAAATTGAAGCAGTTCTGCTTCTGTTGCCTTACTTTACCTATGGGTGGATTTCCTGATACTTAATGTGGCCTGGGCACTGTTACTGTTAGTTTTTATTATCCTTTACTGTCTGAACATGAACATATTCTCTGAAAAAGGTAAACTTTTTATGTTTGCAACGTGGTATCTTAAACTTCCATATTTGGAACTTTTATGAGAAGCACAAATAAGCCTCTGATGTTGTTTCCTTCCTACATATACAATAGTAATAGTATATTACACAGCAGGAATAGTATACACAGTGTAACAGTATAACTTCTTTCAGAACCAATTACAATGTGTGTGGGGCAGAAGGGGGCCCTCCATCCCCTATTCCAGACGCCAGTTGCAACCCCAGGCTTCTGACCTACGGGCTACAGATAGGAGTTTCCCACAACCTCCCCCTCAGGTTTGATTAATTTGCTAAAGCATCTCAGAGAACTCAGGAAAACACTTACCTTTACTAGTTTAGTAAAGGATACAAGTTAACAGCCAGATGAAGAGACACATAGGGCAAGGTCCCAAATGAAGGGGCTTCTATCTTCGTGGAGCTTGGGGCCTGGCTTGGTGGCACACGGGAGCGTTCTGGTTCCCCAAGCCCAGCTCTTCCTGACTGAGCATCAGGATATCCAAGAGAGCAATAAGCCCTTCTCAGGGGTTTTTGTGAGGGCTTCATTGCAGTCATAATTGACTAAATTTTTGGCCATTGGCTGATTCAACCTCCAGCCCTGCCCTTGCGTGGGGGTCCAAGTCTCTCACTAACATGACAAAACACCCATTTTACCTTTAAGACTGCAGTGCCTTTAGGAACTGTGAAGACCAGATATACCTGGGAAATACATATCTGGTCACCGAAGTGACCAGATATGTATTCTTTATGACTCATTATATCACAGCCTGTTTTTTTACGGGTACCATTGAAATTATGGAAGATGCAACATGTTGACATAGAGATCTTTGACTTTGTATTTAGGTATGTTTGCAATATGTTGTAAAGTGTTTAGTAAGTTTTTAATGGTTTTAGGATTTTTTGGTGTCATTCTTCAATAGCAATTAAATATTTATTATTTTATCTTAATTTTCAGGTAAAGAAAATACTCCCTCATTACTCGGTCTCTGTGGGTCTCTAACATCAGTGGCAAGTTACAAATCTCTAACAAGCCTAAAATCTAATGACTACCTTGCAAGTCCTACAACAGAGATGACAAGTCCAGGCCTAACTCCATCCTGAAAAATTTTATGTAAAAGCCAGAAGTTTTTTATGTTGCATATGTCCTACTTAAATAGTTTGCTGGCAGAACCTTTGGAATTTCTTATTGTTCTGGCACATGTCTGGAATTCTATTGCTTATATTAGAGAATTCAATCCATTCCATATAAGCCTGTGAGTGAAAAAAAAATGATCCTGCCATTTTCATTTGAAAATTCTTAAATTTGTCACTGAGAAAGAATAGGCTGGATAAAAATACTTTCATAGATTCTCTATATTAATAATCCATTGCAAATTGTACATACTAGCTGATTTTCATATATTTGAATGTATCATAATTGCCAGAGACTGGGTTCAAGCTTTTATTCTGGAGCATAAGTATTTTCTTCTGCTCGTTTAGTCAAGGATTAAATTTTCTAACCATGACTTGATTTCATTTTTCATTAATTTCTTCCTAGGTTCTAATATTTAAATGTCTTTTTAATATGAGGTGGTTTTCAGCAAGTTTCACAGGGGCTTATTCTGCTTTTCTTTAACAGTTATCATTTGGTTCAGCCTAACATTCCACTTAACATTTTATAAATTTTATAGGAATATTCCTTTAGGCAGTTACTTAATTTGTTCGGGCCATAGGGAAAGTACTTTACATCTTTTAGGTAAAATGAATAAATTTCTTATCTTTGTTTTCCCAAAATTTTCTTACAAGTTTACCAATTTAAAAATATCAAATATGCCTCAAAAGTAGGAAAACATTTAAAAATGTAGAAAAGATGCTAAAAAGTTATTTTATCAGGAAAGATTTCAACTTTGATTTCAGAAGCTTTTAAATAAGAAACAGTCGTGTAATACCATACTTCATATGCCTGACATGCAGTGTTTTTTCCTTGTGTACAGCAATGAATTATGTAATTTGTTTTATAGCTTCTATCATTAATTATGCCATAAACTCTTAAAAATGGATGTTAAAAATCACTACACTTCTACAGGCAAAAAAAGTTAGTTTTCTTTTTTAAAAAGCTATGAGTTATATTTGAAATCTTTCTGCAATTTTTGGAACTGTATCTTCTGTCCCTAAAAATTCCACCCTACTGAAAGAGAAAGTATATGAAATATATTTTCTATAGTAAGTAATATAAGGAAAACATCATCAGTTGTGCCAAAGAAGTTTTATACATTGTTTACATGAGGAGCCTACAATACTTACTGGGGACTTCATATGCTATTTTTGTTAATTAATAAAACACTACATTCAAACTTAGTAGCTTTGACATATAGGGATAACGTTCCTGCTAAAACCATTTATTGAAAGGAGGCAAGAACACTGAACTTAACCACGTTCACTCCTTGTTTCAGAAGTGTAGGAGTGCAGTGGTTCTCTGCAGCATTTAGAGCTTTACTCTCATAATTTGAAATTTAAGATAATAAATAGTAACAAGGCTAGTCCTATTTGTAAGACAGTTCAAAATGTCATTTCAAAGACAAAGGAGGCCTGGAAGCCCTTAAAATAAGTTATCTTAGGTGTACCAGAACATACGCAGAACTTAATTCTTTTGCTTTAGCACTTGTGGAAATGCAAATATTCTTGAGAAATGGTACCTTTAATCTACTCTTAATTGTGTATACCTTATTGTGACTGAGGCATCCAAAGCAATTTTTAATCAGCATGGGGGATGAAAAGTAGGTATAAAATGAGGACAGTGGAAACCTTGGGAGGAGGGAGTGGGAAATGATTAAAAGAGGGGAACTTCAAAAATTTGAAGGTGGCCTTAAGCACTATTGCTGCTTTCCAAGAATGATCTGAGTTTAAATGCTTTATCATTCATGGTCTGTTCTCTACTAAGTACCTTTATTATCCTTCTGTAATTTAAAAAAATCATTGTTAGATTTTTTCCATACATTTTTTTATAATATAGAAATTCAAGATTCCGTAATTGGTAAAATGTTTCAGATGTGACTGATTATACAGTACCGTGTGCATATGAACATGCTGCTAAATGTAGAGTTAAACATGACTTCTGAGGATCATGACTTTTCCTTTCTTGGAGCTCTTGGTATAAAAAGTGTCTGCTAATGTGAATTCAAGTCTCTAAATAGTTCATTTCATACTACTTATAGAGATTATTGGTTAATGCTTGCATGAGAAAACAATGTATGTTTCAATCTTTAATTTTAGGTGGTAGTGTTTATTGTTCTACACCCTCCCCAAAACAGAATGCTGAATTATATGCTAATATTTCCATGTGTATTTTGTTGCCTTGAATACCTGTTGCATGTGTATTAAACATTTTGTACCATGCATTAATAGTCTTATTTCCTTGCCAAAAAGTTGATTCAAGTTGTACACTGAACTTTTGTTTCAACACATGTGGTAAATGTATATTACTTAACACCTAAAACACTAATATGGAAACAGTTTGGGAGAAATCCTTATTTCAACTTACATAAAATTGCTTTTTATTTAAAAAAAATAACATGATTTGCTGAAGAATATATAACATCTATTGAAGTGGTAAAGTACAGTAGTGGTTCTGGCAGCTACTTATATAATATAATAGCTATGTTTGTTTTCTCACCTGTAAAATGGAAACATCACGATCTTCCCGACACCTGTGTGGACATCAGGATGATGTCAGCATTAAATGAAATACGTGTAAGTTCTTAAGAGGTAAATGCCAAACACAAGCTACTATTACGATTGACAGAAACCTTAAGAATGCAAGTAAACTGAGTCAGTTTTTATTTAAGTCATCTTTATTAGATGTACATATATGATTTCAAGTGGTTAAAATATATCTCAAATTTACAGCTTGCAGAAATTCTTTGTTAAAGTTCCTATCATTAGTTTTGATAAATGAAATCTTACTCGATTATCTCTGAAATGTTACATGACTGCTTTGAACAACAGGGCTCTTAAGTTTTTTTTAGTTAGTTCTCTTTGCTCTTCCGTAAGCAAAGCAGCTTCTATTTAGCTTTAGCATTTATTCTTTTTAATTGCCCCCCAAACTATACATTCTGATTTGGTGTGGATATTCTTTGAGCCTCCATAATATCCTCTACTTACTATTCTCACTACACTTCTGCATTTTATCATAATTTCCAGTTTGTGTCTTATTTCCATCATATATTAAGTTTCCCATGGGCAAGAACTGGTTTTTAAATTTATCTTTTTATCACAATGCGTGGCACATAGAGGACACCCAGTAAATTGTGCTGAATAACTTACTAACATTTGTAGGAGAACCACCTGAAAACTTATAGTGTCCAGACTCTATATCAATACATTTAAAACAAAACTGATCTTTTTGCCATAAAACAAAATTCCATTTTCTGCTTCTGGTGACTAAGTTGTTTCTATTAGGACCTTCCACCCCTAGAAAGTTTTGTTCATTTAGACAAGTTCTCCCTGACCCATATCAATAAATTACTTTAAAAAGATGATTATTTACTTAGATTTTAACATACTTATTTTTAATCTATTATAATTTTACATTTTATGTATATATGTATATATGTAGTACTTTCTTTAGTTGACATTATATACATTAGTTGACATTACAACGATATTCAAGAATACTTTGGAATAATCACCTGTCATACTTCACCTTAACAGTTTTTTTGTTTATTTTCTTTTATAAGCATAGTTGCATAGCTACAATCACAGCGAACATAACCATTTCAGATCCTTCTGCACCATTTTTCCTTTTATTTTTAAATCAAGGCTTGCATTGAAGCCTCTTTTGGCTTCTTCGAGAGCACACCATCCTGCATGTTCCACAGTATTTTCCCACAGAAAAGTTGACGGAACAGAAGCATGAGCACCTGCACACGCCTTATCTCAGTTTGCCACCACTGACGTGTTGCAGCTGCTTCGCCTTGCTCATCTGGGCATGTTCCCTCCTCTTACTCCTGTGTCCACATGTTGTTTTCTCAGCCATTTGAAACTGTATGGCAGGTATCATGACCCTTCACCTCTAAATACACCAGCGTGTATCTCCTAGTGATAAAGATGTTTTCTTACAAAACCACATCATTATGACCCTCAGGAAGTTTAACATCAATACAGTATTACCTGATAATTTATTAATATTCAGATGTCTCCACTTGTCCAGTAATATCCTTAAAGCTTTTTCTTCTTTCTTTAGGTCCAGGACCCAATCAAGGATCACACTTTGCATTTACTTTTCAGCCACTTTGGTGTCCTTTCATATAGCAGAGTATCCCCCAACTTTTCTTTTTCTCTTACTTTTAACATATATTGAAAGAGCCCAAGCCATTTGTTTTGTTTAATGGCCAAAAATTTAATGAACAATTAGAAAATCTAATGTCGTATTCAGGGTAAACATTTTTGGCAAGAATACATTATAAAAGATCTTTCGCAGTGCATCTCATCAGGAGGTCACTGTTATTTATGAATATTGTCACACTTTAAAGATGACTTCTGTGTCCTTTTGACACTCCAGTAGTCTGTCAGAGCTTTCTCACTTTGTGGTAAAATAAGATGTTCTGTGTTACTTTGGTATATTTCATGATCACACATGGATCAGCTATTTCTTCAAGAAGCCCTGTTTCCTTATACTTGAAAATGATGTTAGAGACCATAATCTGGGTTTTAGGGGTAACTGTTTCTACTGAATTGGTCTGTTTCCAATCCTCTTCAATGGACAGAATTAGGACTGTACTTTAAAGAAAAAGAAAACTTACTTACTTTATAATTAAAAGATAAGATTCAAGATTTCTATGTACCTGATTTTATATTTTTATCTTTCTTATGATGATAATATTGGTTCCTAATTTATATGACCATAATTGCTTGCTTTTTCCTACTATACATTAATTTCAAATAACAGTATCTATTTTATTGTTAAAACATGGTAACTTACAGCTTAAGATTTCTTTGTAATTATCTAAGGAATATATCAGAGTCAGATTACTGTGCTTAAAGGTCATCTCAACTCTGTTCACATCCACTTTCATAGGTAACCATTATTAGTTTAATAAATTTCCATTGATAATTTAAATAAATTAAAATTCATGTCCCCCTTTTTTAGATAAAAGGTAACATACTATACACTATTTTGTACTTTGCTTTTTCACTTAACAGTATATCTTAGAAATCACTCACAGCATTGCATAGAGATCTAGTTCTCTTTTACAGCTGCATAGTGCTCCATTGTGAAACTATGTCACACATTTAGATTGTTTGGTCTTTTGCAATTACTGTATGACAATCTTTATTTAAAAGTGGTAAACACTATGTGACATATATACTTACACAATAAAGTTATTTACCACAATAAAGCCATAAATCTCTTTAAAATGTTAAGGGACAAAAATGAAGTAGAAATTTAGAGAGGCTATCCAAACCAGTTGAGTTTCTGGAGCACTTAACAAGAACCCCAGAAAGCAGATTTTGGCTTGAAATGGGTTTCTATGCTTAAATATTAAAAGGATGCTTGAAATATCTTTATCTTTTGATCCTAACATAGCATGATAAACATTTTAAATCTGAATGTAACAATCACTTTTCTCAGCACTGTTATATTTCCTGTATTTTACTAGTCAGCAAGTTATGAAGTTAAAATAGCTAGTCATCTTTTGGTATCTGTTTCCATTTTACAAGGAAAGAATAGGCTCAAAGAAGATTCCTTTCCCAAGGTCACACAGCTAACGAAGACATAGGCGCCCTCTTTCATCTCAGTGCAGTGCTTCCTGAATTGTCATTACTTAATTGCAGAATTATTTAATAAGTGTCTTCTGTGTGCTAGGCACTGGGAATATAATAATGAACACAACAAATTCCATGTCCTTTCTCAAAGATAATAAAGGAGAAAACCACACAATTATCATACAGCACAAGGTGAGCTAAAGTCAAAGGACTGTGGGAACAATAGAGAGGGGTTGTTTGAAACAATATATTAATATTCAGAAACATCTGATAGGTGGTTCAGCTTATATTTCTATAATTGTGTGAGCAGAACCTAAGCTTCCTCTCCATCTTCTTTGGAACCTGCACCCTAAGCTCTGGAGAGAACTTGTTTACCCCAGCTGTGGAAGCAGATCTGCCATTTCTCCTTCAATGGCCCACTGAAGTCCAGCATATGTGCAAAGTTCCTGATGCATTGTAGATGCTAAATAAGAGTGTATTTAGTAAGTTAATAAAGGTGCCCCAAATCAAGCTTTCCTACTAAATTGAAGCAGTTCTGCTTCTGTTGCCTTACTTTACCTATGGGTGGATTTCCTGATACTTAATGTGGCCTGGGCACTGTTACTGTTAGTTTTTATTATCCTTTACTGTCTGAACATGAACATATTCTCTGAAAAAGGTAAACTTTTTATGTTTGCAACGTGGTATCTTAAACTTCCATATTTGGAACTTTTATGAGAAGCACAAATAAGCCTCTGATGTTGTTTCCTTCCTACATATACAATAGTAATAGTATATTACACAGCAGGAATAGTATACACAGTGTAACAGTATAACTTCTTTCAGAACCAATTACAATGTGTGTGGGGCAGAAGGGGGCCCTCCATCCCCTATTCCAGACGCCAGTTGCAACCCCAGGCTTCTGACCTACGGGCTACAGATAGGAGTTTCCCACAACCTCCCCCTCAGGTTTGATTAATTTGCTAAAGCATCTCAGAGAACTCAGGAAAACACTTACCTTTACTAGTTTAGTAAAGGATACAAGTTAACAGCCAGATGAAGAGACACATAGGGCAAGGTCCCAAATGAAGGGGCTTCTATCTTCGTGGAGCTTGGGGCCTGGCTTGGTGGCACACGGGAGCGTTCTGGTTCCCCAAGCCCAGCTCTTCCTGACTGAGCATCAGGATATCCAAGAGAGCAATAAGCCCTTCTCAGGGGTTTTTGTGAGGGCTTCATTGCAGTCATAATTGACTAAATTTTTGGCCATTGGCTGATTCAACCTCCAGCCCTGCCCTTGCGTGGGGGTCCAAGTCTCTCACTAACATGACAAAACACCCATTTTACCTTTAAGACTGCAGTGCCTTTAGGAACTGTGAAGACCAGATATACCTGGGAAATACATATCTGGTCACCGAAGTGACCAGATATGTATTCTTTATGACTCATTATATCACAGCCTGTTTTTTTACGGGTACCATAGAAATTATGGAAGATGCAACATGTTGACATAGAGATCTTTGACTTTGTATTTAGGTATGTTTGCAATATGTTGTAAAGTGTTTAGTAAGTTTTTAATGGTTTTAGGATTTTTTGGTGTCATTCTTCAATAGCAATTAAATATTTATTATTTTATCTTAATTTTCAGGTAAAGAAAATACTCCCTCATTACTCGGTCTCTGTGGGTCTCTAACATCAGTGGCAAGTTACAAATCTCTAACAAGCCTAAAATCTAATGACTACCTTGCAAGTCCTACAACAGAGATGACAAGTCCAGGCCTAACTCCATCCTGAAAAATTTTATGTAAAAGCCAGAAGTTTTTTATGTTGCATATGTCCTACTTAAATAGTTTGCTGGCAGAACCTTTGGAATTTCTTATTGTTCTGGCACATGTCTGGAATTCTATTGCTTATATTAGAGAATTCAATCCATTCCATATAAGCCTGTGAGTGAAAAAAAAATGATCCTGCCATTTTCATTTGAAAATTCTTAAATTTGTCACTGAGAAAGAATAGGCTGGATAAAAATACTTTCATAGATTCTCTATATTAATAATCCATTGCAAATTGTACATACTAGCTGATTTTCATATATTTGAATGTATCATAATTGCCAGAGACTGGGTTCAAGCTTTTATTCTGGAGCATAAGTATTTTCTTCTGCTCGTTTAGTCAAGGATTAAATTTTCTAACCATGACTTGATTTCATTTTTCATTAATTTCTTCCTAGGTTCTAATATTTAAATGTCTTTTTAATATGAGGTGGTTTTCAGCAAGTTTCACAGGGGCTTATTCTGCTTTTCTTTAACAGTTATCATTTGGTTCAGCCTAACATTCCACTTAACATTTTATAAATTTTATAGGAATATTCCTTTAGGCAGTTACTTAATTTGTTCGGGCCATAGGGAAAGTACTTTACATCTTTTAGGTAAAATGAATAAATTTCTTATCTTTGTTTTCCCAAAATTTTCTTACAAGTTTACCAATTTAAAAATATCAAATATGCCTCAAAAGTAGGAAAACATTTAAAAATGTAGAAAAGATGCTAAAAAGTTATTTTATCAGGAAAGATTTCAACTTTGATTTCAGAAGCTTTTAAATAAGAAACAGTCGTGTAATACCATACTTCATATGCCTGACATGCAGTGTTTTTTCCTTGTGTACAGCAATGAATTATGTAATTTGTTTTATAGCTTCTATCATTAATTATGCCATAAACTCTTAAAAATGGATGTTAAAAATCACTACACTTCTACAGGCAAAAAAAGTTAGTTTTCTTTTTTAAAAAGCTATGAGTTATATTTGAAATCTTTCTGCAATTTTTGGAACTGTATCTTCTGTCCCTAAAAATTCCACCCTACTGAAAGAGAAAGTATATGAAATATATTTTCTATAGTAAGTAATATAAGGAAAACATCATCAGTTGTGCCAAAGAAGTTTTATACATTGTTTACATGAGGAGCCTACAATACTTACTGGGGACTTCATATGCTATTTTTGTTAATTAATAAAACACTACATTCAAACTTAGTAGCTTTGACATATAGGGATAACGTTCCTGCTAAAACCATTTATTGAAAGGAGGCAAGAACACTGAACTTAACCACGTTCACTCCTTGTTTCAGAAGTGTAGGAGTGCAGTGGTTCTCTGCAGCATTTAGAGCTTTACTCTCATAATTTGAAATTTAAGATAATAAATAGTAACAAGGCTAGTCCTATTTGTAAGACAGTTCAAAATGTCATTTCAAAGACAAAGGAGGCCTGGAAGCCCTTAAAATAAGTTATCTTAGGTGTACCAGAACATACGCAGAACTTAATTCTTTTGCTTTAGCACTTGTGGAAATGCAAATATTCTTGAGAAATGGTACCTTTAATCTACTCTTAATTGTGTATACCTTATTGTGACTGAGGCATCCAAAGCAATTTTTAATCAGCATGGGGGATGAAAAGTAGGTATAAAATGAGGACAGTGGAAACCTTGGGAGGAGGGAGTGGGAAATGATTAAAAGAGGGGAACTTCAAAAATTTGAAGGTGGCCTTAAGCACTATTGCTGCTTTCCAAGAATGATCTGAGTTTAAATGCTTTATCATTCATGGTCTGTTCTCTACTAAGTACCTTTATTATCCTTCTGTAATTTAAAAAAATCATTGTTAGATTTTTTCCATACATTTTTTTATAATATAGAAATTCAAGATTCCGTAATTGGTAAAATGTTTCAGATGTGACTGATTATACAGTACCGTGTGCATATGAACATGCTGCTAAATGTAGAGTTAAACATGACTTCTGAGGATCATGACTTTTCCTTTCTTGGAGCTCTTGGTATAAAAAGTGTCTGCTAATGTGAATTCAAGTCTCTAAATAGTTCATTTCATACTACTTATAGAGATTATTGGTTAATGCTTGCATGAGAAAACAATGTATGTTTCAATCTTTAATTTTAGGTGGTAGTGTTTATTGTTCTACACCCTCCCCAAAACAGAATGCTGAATTATATGCTAATATTTCCATGTGTATTTTGTTGCCTTGAATACCTGTTGCATGTGTATTAAACATTTTGTACCATGCATTAATAGTCTTATTTCCTTGCCAAAAAGTTGATTCAAGTTGTACACTGAACTTTTGTTTCAACACATGTGGTAAATGTATATTACTTAACACCTAAAACACTAATATGGAAACAGTTTGGGAGAAATCCTTATTTCAACTTACATAAAATTGCTTTTTATTTAAAAAAAATAACATGATTTGCTGAAGAATATATAACATCTATTGAAGTGGTAAAGTACAGTAGTGGTTCTGGCAGCTACTTATATAATATAATAGCTATGTTTGTTTTCTCACCTGTAAAATGGAAACATCACGATCTTCCCGACACCTGTGTGGACATCAGGATGATGTCAGCATTAAATGAAATACGTGTAAGTTCTTAAGAGGTAAATGCCAAACACAAGCTACTATTACGATTGACAGAAACCTTAAGAATGCAAGTAAACTGAGTCAGTTTTTATTTAAGTCATCTTTATTAGATGTACATATATGATTTCAAGTGGTTAAAATATATCTCAAATTTACAGCTTGCAGAAATTCTTTGTTAAAGTTCCTATCATTAGTTTTGATAAATGAAATCTTACTCGATTATCTCTGAAATGTTACATGACTGCTTTGAACAACAGGGCTCTTAAGTTTTTTTTAGTTAGTTCTCTTTGCTCTTCCGTAAGCAAAGCAGCTTCTATTTAGCTTTAGCATTTATTCTTTTTAAATTATAGAAAGGGGGAGATGAAATTATATCAATGCCATTATGGTACCTTTTAAAAGTATACTTTACTCCAAACCAAAACTTTTAGATAGTTTTAAATAGGTCACCTTATTGTAAATTCCATTTTCTATTCTGCCAATTATATTTCAAAAAACCAACTAAAAAGTTTCACTATATAACACTCGGCCTTACTAGATAGACACATTCTGGTGCTTTTGTTCTGTGCTGTGCTAAACTATCCTATCTTGTTTTCTTTCAGTGAAAAAAAAAAAAAAATACTGGTCTTGAAAAACTGACCAGCCACCCCAACTCTAGAGCTTTGTCAGAAATACTTCTTTGGTTTCCTGCTGCTTTCTTGTCCCTCCTTCAGTGCACAAGGCCCCTGACTACATTTCCAATCTGATCTCCTACCACGTGGCCATGTATACAGCCTTTGCTCAGGGCTTAAGGTCTAAGTTCCCCCGCCTGGTTGAGACTCCTACCTCCAGGGTATGTTTAACTGAGTCACCTGTCTTAATAGTAGTGGCATTTCCTGTTCCCTCCCTCTCTGTGCCAGGCTGAGTGGGGAAATCCTCCCCATTCCCCTTACTACCTTTGTATACCTCTGTCAATCACAGCTCTGAAGGCTCCTTGTGGCCAATGACAGTAACTGAAATGTTTTATCATTTCCAGTGTTTTGTATACTACCTACTACATAAAAGGTCTGAATAAGTGTTGCATGATAGATTAAAATATGAGAGCATAATTTATTTTAGAAGTTTATTTTGGAAAATATTTCAAAAGTGAACTTCAAAACTAAACTTTTCCACATCCCTGGAATTTGTGCCTAGGAAAAGTGAGGGAAAGATTTAAACAAGTCATTGGTTAAATAAGTATAGTAAATAGTTTTTCCTAGAAATAACTCCATATCTATTTTTTTAAGTCAAATGTGTATTACATGAAAGGTAGCAAACACATAATACTTGGGCTAGACATTGCTTTAAAAATTTACACATAAAAAATTGCATGTTAGAAAATTTAACAGTAATTTAAACTGTTTCCTTTCAGAAATATTACCAAGAATACAATTTCTAGCCCAAACCATTTTCAATTGCTACTAATTTTTTTAACAAAAATAATACTTCTTTAATGCTTAAGTATAGAGAAAGCTTTAATTCAGTATTCTTTTCACCCAAATCTCATATAATGTATGTTAGGAAAAATACCAGAGAGTTAGATTTATTTAAATTATTGTAGTCACAAATAATATAATAAGAGTTTTCTACAAGTGCAGTCAGTTTTAAGGAGAGGGGGCTTTCCTGCCTGGTAGTTGACAAGTAATATTAAGCTAAAATATGTGACTGACTTTTTTTGAGAGCAGAGTATAAATTTTTTTGCCTTTTTCTACCAGTTTTACCAAAAAGAAACATAGCAGAACCAAGGTAAATTTAAATTTAGTATCATTAAACGGCAGTGCTCAAGATAAACTTTCACATATGTATATATACATATTTAGCTTGAAGCACAGTGGTAATTTTAAAGACATTTTAATGAATATAAAAGAAAATATGTTTTTATAGATATTTATGTTGCTAATTTAAGATAAACACAGGTTACATTACAAATCCTTTACAGTTTATTTCTAATGAAACATACAAACTCTTCTACTTTAATACAAAATACATTAATTCCTCTTCAACACCTACAGATTTATAACCTAAATATATTACTCTATTTAGGGGAAAAAAAAGCTTCACATTTTCATAAAATACACATGGATTGCAATAAAGTGCTTCTTTAAATAGGTTATATACATCCTGAGAAAATCAAATATTAAAAAAAGCCACTTCTTGTTCTGCATCATATCCTTTTTGTTTCATTCCTATAGTCATAAGCTACATTACTTAGGCCATTAGCTTGTAGTGACTGAAAGCTATTTCTTCAAGGAAACTGCTGCCTCTTTAGTCTTTTGGGTCTAGTCTCTTCAGAATGTCCTGATGTAAAACAAGGAACATTTTGGAAATATTTTGTGACTGATACTGTATTCTAGAGAACTCCACAAAGTGGTACTTGGATTATAAGACGGCTGACACCGGAGGCCCTTCCTACAGTGAAACATTATTTTTACTAGTCTAAATACAATGTGGTTTTCCACTGTACAACCAAGTTTGAATGAAGTGAACATTTAATACAGTCAGTAAGAACTCCCTCTCTTGCAGAAACAGATAACACAGTATCTTTAGTCATCAAAACCCGCAGTATCAACATTACACAAAGGATTATACTTTGGTTCATAAGGATAAAACAGCCATACCTTTGACTAGAGAAATCCTAATACACGTGGAGCCTTAAAATAGTAATGGGGGTGCTTAACAAAAAATTGTAACACATTTGGTTTAAAGACAACAACTGATAGGTAATATTTGGTAAATGTGAATAGTTATTTAAAGACTTGCTTTCTGTATCTACTCTACTGAAATATTTAAATATACGTATATGATTTAAATGTGTGTAAAAGGTTTCGCCATTTTTCTTCTGGACTCTGCACATCATCCAGCACACAATTCAGAATGTCCTGATGTATCTGACACACTCCCAACAAGACTAAGTTACACCAAAACCTATTATATTACCTACAGATTACTGCTTGTAGAGGTAAGGAATAATTTTTCTTTACAAGAATGCTCGGGGTTGTGATTTCTGGAATATCTTTTTCAGTATCTCAAAAATTAGGATAACATTTATTTCAAAATTAGGATTATGATTTAAAGGCAAAGTAGAAATTACTATTCATTTAAATTATAGAAAAGAAAAGATATAAAATCACTGTAACATAATGGTGAAAAAGGTTCTTGCCTGTGAATCTCCATCTTACTATCTGACTTTCGGTTGTTGTTTCAAGTTGACGGAGCATCACTAGTGTTCCTGTCTTTGAGCATTTTGTTTTTGGAAAAAAGCCTTTCCAAACTCATATGTGCTGATCATAATGGCACAAGCAGGAGCAATTTTAATTAAACGGGGTATGAAGCCTGAAAAGAGAATAGAAAAAAATTAGAGCAAACTTTACCTAATTTTTAAAAATGTAATTTATTTGGTTTCATTCTGATAACAATCAAATGAAATGACATATCAGTGCTATGTCAAAGGACATGCCCAACTGCTCTAATCCCAACCTCCGCACTTAAATTCCATTTACTTTATATGGAAATATTATTGGTAGTAAATATTTTCAATTTATAAAATATATTACAACCTGTAAAATTATTAAACTGAAAGCAAAAAATTTTTAAGCTGAAAGCAAAGATGTTTAGGAGGCAATCATGAATGTGGAATGTTTTCAGAATTTTCCTGTTGAAAGTTAATTTACGGTGATAGATATAAAAATAAAAGTAATCATTTTAGTCAGTATGTTGAAGCAAACATTTTTACCTGAAAATAACCCAGGAAATCCATTCTTAGCAACAATGTTCTTCATTATAGTCCAGGTTGACATATGCAAAGGCACAGAAACTAAATGTTAAAATAAATGATGCTATTAATAAATTAATAATTTCTAATTCAGATAATACACATAAAATACTGTTTATGGCTTTTGGGGTATATATCATTTCATTATAATAAGAACAGAACTATTAACCTACAGAGCTATTTTAAATCTTATTTTTAATAGTTGGTTTAAAAAGAATTAGAAAAAGGCTCTAAGTTTAAAGTTGTATAGGACTGAATGCAATCAAGGAAGAATACAAAAAAGGCTTCTTCTGAATAGATAATACTTGTTTCCTAAGTGTGGTGGTGAGTATCCAATATACTTTTCTCTATGCTTTAAAAATGTTTCATAATGAAATTTTTAAAAAATGTATAGAAATCTTTATGGGGTTCCCAGTGCCAAAGAGAAACCCTGATAATTTTCATTAAATTTTTATTGCACACATTAAAAATTAAAATAAAAATTTTTATTGCACACATTAAAAATTTAAATAAAAATTTTTTTCTCTTAAAAGAGATTCTGAGGGAAATAGTTCTTCTCCCTAGGAAGTTCCTAGTTTATTAAAACCTTTCTAAATAGATGTGACAGTCTTATCAAGTTCTGTCCCCTCCAAAGGGCAGATTTATCCTTTAACTAATAGTAATATCTTACTTATTTACAACCACTCAAATAATCTGAAACATAGTAAAAAAACTGATTTAAGAAAACACCAAAAACAGGTGTCACTGATATTCAAACATAAAGCTGCTCATACACAAAATTCACATACCTTCATTTTACACAATGGTTCTAAGCAGCTGGCTTAGTCCACAAAGCACTAGATGCAATAAGTTAAAAAAAAAAAGTCTGCTAAGAACTAGGCATACTACCACGTGAACACTGACAGCTGCAGCATGCTACAGATTTCAAAGTCTTGAGACTAGCTGGATGGTGGCAAACACTCCTAAACTGCCCTCACTGGTTTCTGAGAGCTACATGATAAACTCTACAATAATCAGTGTGTGCACTGATGGCAACTCTTTGAGTTATTATGAAAGATTAAAGCATGTACTATGAAGCATGCCTAGGAAAAAAGAAAGAGAAGGATATCTTTCAAAAATTGCTTTTAAGGTTTTACTTAATGAAGCAGGGCTCATTACCTCAAATTTCATTTATAGAAAATACCAGATTCTCTGACCATAAAGATAAATGAGGCTTGTTATTTATCTTAGAACCTATACATATAGGTTAAATATATATACCATAATAACTATAGGAACCCAACAGAGTACACTAATTCTAAAACCAAGAACAAAGTATTTATGAATGAAAGTTAACTTTCTAAGAAAGTCAGTAACAAAACTTTATATTACAAGTTAGCAACTTCTTCATATTTAAATTATTTCATTTAAATTTTGGAAACTACTGGTGAAAGAAAAGAGACCAAGTATTCACGTATTTCTAATCTTATAGAACTCAAGCCCCAAACTGGTCTCCATTTTAATAGTTAGGTGAAATTAAAAGAGAATGGACAGAAAGTTATTAACTGAAGGAGAGCCATGGTAGAGGTCTCATGGAATCTCTAAAGTATCTCCTGCCTACAGTTCCAATATTGAAGATATTCCTACAGGTAAAAAGCAACTTCTCACATTGTAAGGAAACACTAGTCAATTATTAAATATTTCAAGCACAGACAATAGAATATTCATTTGCTGACCATCCAAATTTATCAAATCCTAACAACTGTATGTTTCAGATCAAAGCCCCCTGTGTATTCCCTCCCAATCTTAATTCTTCCTCTCTCCTCAGAGGTAACCACTCTCTTGAATTTTATTCTGTCACATGTGGTTTAAACTTTTACTACGTATGGATATATCCATAAGTTATATACATTTTTGTTTTTCATGCTCTTAAACTTTATATAAAATGACTGTAAGTGTGCATTTACTCTTGTAATGTGCTTTTAGGATTACCTATGTTGGCAAGTGCAGCTATGTTTCATTTTAATTGCTGTTTGTTACTGCATTTTATTAATTGTTCCAATTTACCTATTTCCTTGTCATGGGGCAGTTAGGTGGTTTTCTAACTTTTGGGGATTAAGAATCCTTCAGCAAATATCCTCATATGTATGCAGAAGTTTCTTCAGGGCACACTCTAGGAGTGGAATAGCTTGTTCAAAGACCATTTCTTGATACTGCCAATTTCCCAAAGCAGCTGTTGCAAATTTACTCTCTCATCTGGATGGCATCAGAGTTCCCAGTGCTCCACATCCTCCCAGCAATCCAGTGCCTATAAAAAGGCTTCTCACTGCTTTGCTGTTCTAGTTGGCATTTTCCTCATTCCTACTGAGCATTTTTTCACAAGTTTATTTGCCACATATAACTATTTTTAAATGATTTTTTACTGGGAGTATTTAAAAATATGAAATACATTCAGAGAAAAAAAGTTTAATCTGTGGAAAGTTTACTCTGTGGATCTGACCCTGGTCTAAAAAGCTGAAACCTGAGATTAAATTTTTAAAAATTAAATAGTGCTCTCATAAATGAGGTGAATTTACCTCCAGACAGGATATGCACTCACTACATCCTAACATGCATTTCCTCCACTAGAGTGTGAACTCTTGAGGGATTTGTCTGCTGCCTCATTTGCCTGTTTGGACCACTACGGTGCCTGCACAGAGCAGGCAGTGATGAGCAGTCCACTAATGGATGAAGGATGGGAGAAATGCTCTAAGTGCACTGACAAAGAGATTGTATTCTTGCACAGAACTGACCATCATTCTACATGTAACATTCCTCCTTATTTTCTTTTTTGCTTAGAGATAAGGGATTTGGTATAGCTGAGTTATGGAATGAAGGAAGCCACTTCTAAACAAAGCTAATTTACTTCTTTAGATAAATAATATATGATAAAAATGAGAAAAAATATGGCTTATCACTCAAATCAGAAGTGCACTTTGCCACTTCTGGCAAATAGAAACATCTTGCCAAATATAGCTGGCTCATAGCTGAAGCAGAATAAAAGGCACAAGTGACCAATGATAATCATATAAAATTAAAATCCATGGCTAACTGAAAGTTTTTTCTTTGGGGTTTAATGGAAACAGTAATTAGAATAACATTAATTATAAACATTAATTAGAAAAAAGCAGTGATAGGTAAGAGTTAAATCTAATGAAATAAGATGCCACCGATGCCAGTCTCAATGAGGAGGTACAATCACTTAGGGAACATTTTCAAAATATACAGGACAGAGCCTTAGATCTATTAAGTGAGAGTCCACTGTGGGTGGTGCTCAGCTTTAGATAAAGTCACCCCAGGTGATTCCAGTGATTCTTTACCTAGTTAGGTGGCTCCCAAACTTGAATGACCATCAGAGTCTGCTTGCAGAGATCCCCATCTTCTCCCTCACTGTCACCAGGACCGTGACCATGACAGCCACCTCACTGACACAGTCATCAGTCGTTTCTCATAAATCACCCCAGAGAGCATTCCCACTATCTTAAACAGGTCACTTAACAAAAGAAACAGGAATTCTGATGAGTTGGAAGGAAGAATGAAACAATAATTTTGAACTATCGAGGGAGAACAGATAGGGGTTAGGCAGCCAAATGGAAGTGGAAGAACCCTGAGGATAAACTTTAATCACCTCCCAGGTTGTAGTTAGCTCCAACAGAGAGGACTAGGACTTGGGGAAGTCATTCCCCAAAGTTGTCACTAATATTCATCAGATTCAGTTTCAGAGGTCTGTAATCAATGTTGCTTTTGACATACCTATTTTATTTTGCATGCATAATATTCTGGTGGTTAGAACTAAGCTTATCATAAGGTTTACATGACACAATTTTGTAATGGATAATTTCCAGTGGTTTTTCTAAGCTTTTATGGATAACAAATAATGATGTGGAAGCCACTACAAATGGAAGCTAGTAAGCATACACTTTTGTTCTAGAAGAAATTAAAGTTATAAAGAAGTAAAAATAGATGAAAAATAGGTAGAAAAAACATCAAAATAAAGGAAGCTTAAAAAAAGAGTAAAATGTCGTGCATAGTAATGAAACAAAACACACCAAAAGAAAAAGGATTCCCAGTAATTTCCTATCCTTTACCCCAATTTCCCAGATATACTTGAAAGAATGCTTATATAATGTAATCTTCTATACAGCAGGTATGAAACTTAACTGATGGCAGGCAAAATTCATAGACTTGAAGATTTCTTAAATTTTTTGTTTGGGTTTAAAGTATTTTTTTCTGGGTATTCCATTCTGACAGTAAACTTTCAGTTAAATAAAGAGTAAGGCAGCAGAAGAAAGGTATTCCTAATTTAGTATGTAGAAAGAAAAAATTTTTATAACATCTTGAAAATGTTTTTAAATTAAACTTACTTTTTTGATTTTCATATATCCAAAGTTGTGTCTGCTTTTGTGTTTTTACAACATCAAATGGCAAAGTTGCAACAGCTGCAAACTATCAAAAAGTAAAATTGATTAATTTAAATCTAGCTTTTAATTTTTCCTAAAATGTTTTTACATTCTTCTAATTAGCACATTACCCAATATGGATAATAATGAAAATGAAAATTAAACTGACTCTTAAAATGAAATCAGGTGTATTTACAGAGATGCTTTTATTAAAGAAAAATAGGTACATGTCTTATACATTTTTCCCAAAATTCAGGAGTAAATTAAAAAAACCTCAGCAATGTTCCCCTACTTTTCTGACTAGTGGTAAGGTCAGAATTCTGACCAGACCATTCTGGCTCCAAAACCAGTATCACAGGTTCTGATGCTCCTGTGTGTTTCATTATTTCTTTACACATGAAGTATGCTTATTTTAAAGAACTTCTCAAGCATCTAGTAAGCATTTAAATTTTTCTAACAAATGTTGTAAAAATAAATAGAATAAGCTAAATTTAAATAAATAAGACAGACTTTGAACTTTTAAACTCTACGTTTTATGGGTTTCAACATATTTATCAAAAATAGTTGCAAGAGTTCACAAATCACATTTTTAAAAACTCATAATTAATCAGTAATTATTTCCATAATGATACGTTTAAGTAAGGAAGATTTTTTAAAAGAATAATTTAATTCCCCTAAGAATATCTAACAATTTTTAACAGCCATGAAAAATCAAACCTGGTCTCCATTTCTTGCTTCCCAGCTCACATTTGGCCAATATGTTCATAAAATGTTCCTCAGAATCACTTAAATTGTATTTCATCCTGACAAAGTTGATTTAAGTTCTTACAATGTAATCAAAGATCTCAGGGAAGATAAAATCAATTATTGTTTCTCCATCTCCACAATCTAGCATGTAGTAGCAGAAGACAGCAATGATATATAAGCCTCTTTGACAGTATCTAGAATGATGTTGTGTAGGCTATTCTGTTTGGTGACAGAAAGCCTGGACAGTCAACCTCACCTGCTTTTTCTGTTGCAGACAAATTTTCATCTGAAAAAAGTAAAAAAGCAGTATCTTCTAGATTTAGATTTCTTGTAAATAAATTTTCTATGTTAAGTAGAAATAGTAAATAGAGAACCTTCTTCCATATTACTGGAAAGCAGGTACAATATCCTGAAGCCCTTATTCAACATTGTTTTATAAATAAGTAAATAAGCATTTATTTTTAAGTATGGAATTGTTTCTGTAATTTAAACTGTTATGAATTCCTAAATAATATTTGCTTTTCTTCATTCATGCAGGATCAAAACATACATTAAACACTTAGATTACAATTAATCCCTTCACAAATAAGAGGGATAAAAGATTTTGCTGGTTTTATAACTACTTAAATTGCTAAAAAAAGAAAAGGAAGTAATTTTTCTTTTGCCTTATACTTTTACTTATAACCCATTAGGCTTCCCCTTGACAGGTCTCAGACTTAGGAATATTCATATCTAAGTTTTGAACTCAGTCATCCTCAGTTTTCTGATACAATGGTTTTCTGCAGGTCTCCATGCCTTCACTATTCTCCTTCACTCTTGTTTTTCATTTAGTTCCAATATACCTATAGTATCTCACTGGAAGTCATCACAAATCCATAAGTATATGGGTGTACAAAAACTTTGTGGCCAAAATCTGCAAAAAAGAAATCCATTACATGACTTTTCATTAGGTGGAGGGATGGGAAAAGGTAAATGCTCTATTACTTAAAAATGGTGATCTGAGATTGTATATAATCTGATGATAAATACGAGATGACACTCCATGAAATATTACCTAACCAAATCTACTGGTATTTCATGAACAAATTGCCAAATATGTTATAAGCAATAAAGTATTATTTAATCTGCTATCATAACTAATGATCTACCAATGCAAAAGTTTTTCAGAAAAAAAAGTATTTGTTATTTAATAAAAATAGACACAAAGTACCTTTTAAAATATTTCAGTGATTAATAATTTATTTCCTCAAATGAGAATAGTAAATACTTAGCAAAGTTTTAAAGCAGTATAGCCCAAAAGTGTTACCTCAATAGACATGAAATGCCATATAATATTTTGTTCTGTTTTAATAAGGCAATTATCATTATTCTGGAGTATTAACAAGAATGAACTTACAGAACCAGACAATGCCCCTGAAGTAAAGCTGACCATAAATGTTGGTTCATATAAACCAGATTTTGCACACAACCACTTCTTTAAAACTTCATAGTTATACCAGTACATTGCTATAAAAAGAGAATGAAAGTATTAACACATATTTATAAATTAAATGGTGACTTTAAAGAAAATATTTATGAGATTATATGTTAAAGGAAAAGAGAAATTCTAATATTGACACACACTGCTTTTTGCTTGGACACATAGTAGGTGATATTTTTTAAAAAACCCACCAAATTCTACATGATATGGTAGCAATATTGTAAACAAACAAAAAACCCCATATGCATCAGTGAAGTAGGACTTTAATTTTAAAACCTCACAAGGACAGTAGGAGAAAGAATAAGTACAGTCCAATCTCCAGGAATAAAAACCCTAAAAAATGCAACCGAAGCCAGAAGTATTTCATAAAAGTTCATGTGCTATGACTAAGCCAGGTTACCTGAGAAATGCAAGGGTAGTAAATAAACCCATTAGATGCTATATACATTACAGAACCATAGGATGATCCTATAGTTCATCTTAAAATGATGGAAAAGCATTTCATTAAATTCAACACACTTTCACTTACAACAAATAAATGCATTTCTTGGAGACTTAGGGATAAAAGTGAACTTTAACTTGATAGAGGGTATGCATCAGGAACGAATAGCAAAAATAAATATTACTGGTGAAACAACAGAACTGTTTCCTTCAGAATGAAGAAAATTATAGGGATACAACATTATCATTGCTACTATTCAAAACTACTAGGCAGCACAGTAAGAAAAAAGCTGTAATGATTAAAAATAAACAAAATAGTTATAATTTACATATTAGAGTCTACATGGAAAACCCAAATATAAGCAGATTAGAATTTGATAGCAGTGTTTTAAAAGCTAATAGAAGAAAATGAACTGTAACACTGCACTAGCCCAAAAGATTTAGAAAACATTTTTAAAAAAGCTTTTAAAATAGCTATCAAAAGCTGATAGGGGGAGGATGTTCCTGTAAATAAATCTAAACAACAAAAAATGTATATAACCTTTAAGAAGAAAATCTTAAATCTCTACTAAAATACTTTAAAAATAAGGTAACATTGATATTTTTTATAATGCACTAGTAATTTAAGACAAAACTGTGGTATCAGCACAGTGCTAGTTAAACGGGCCAGTGAGACAGATCCATGCTCACATGGACATGTGAGATGATAGCAAAGTCCCTGGAGCAAGTATGGTCACTCAGTAAATGGTGCTGGGCTACCTCTACCCACATGAAGCAGAAAGGAAATTGAGTACAATGTAATTGATTTAAAATTAATATATAAATAAGACAAAGCTACCTAAAATTGAGCAGATACTAAGAAAAATCTTACCTGAGAATGGTACATCTCTAAGGACAGTAGGAGCCCAGCCTCTCCAAAGGGAAATCCAACCATCTTCAGATACTTTCTTGCTGAGAAATCGATGCAGTTCTTCGTAAGAAAACTTCTTATACTGCATCTTGGTTCTAATCAATTCTAAAGGACTTATCACAGTTACTGCAACAACTAATACAAACAAGCAATTATAAGAAAACAAAAATAAAGCCATGTACTATGCAAAAATATAGGTAAAATTAATATCTCATGCACTGTATATTTTAAACTTTTATTCTGAAATGTCTGCAAACCTTAGAAGCTAATAAATATCTAATAATGCCAACATATTGGCATAGATTTTTTTTACCATGATAAAGATATTTCTGAAAAGTCTGTTTTCATATACCTTATTTTTTCTAGTTTTAACTCTTAAGAGCAGCTGCAGAAATGTTATACATTAACCAGGACTACTACAAATCTCATTCCCACTGCACAGAGAAAAATGTCCTCCCACATAGAGGTAAATTTCTTTCTGTCTTAACTCTGAATCTCTAAGCCCACAGGAAAATGATCCAAGACTGTGGCATCAATTTGACATCAAACTATGTCATCCTAAAATCTAGAATCTAAAGACTAAAATTAAAAATCTAAATTCTCTCCAAAAGTCAACAGGGATGGGCAGATTCCATCTCATTCTAATGGCAATCACAATATCATGACTTCCAGAGTAGATATATTAACAAATAAGTACAAATTACAATACAAATATATCTTACCAATACTCTGTATTTTATACACGTCCACTGTGAATGTCAAAATTTTAAAAGGCTTAAACAAAAATCAAAATACAGTAAATTACTTACATCTGGCTACAATTCCAGCAATAACTGGTATGTAGCTTTCATTTTCTCCCAACTTAGATCTCAGAAGAGCAGTTAATTGATCATAGCAGGTAAAATAAATAACTGTGGCAGGAACTGCCATCACTCTGTTAAAAACACACAAATGAAAAGATGTACAAAATCATCAAAAGGTTTAAACATATTCTTAAATTATTATTAAGTATAAGCTAATATCCTTACATTTTACACAAGCTGAAAACCACAATAAATCAGCCCATGAGATCAATTACCCTTTTATTTTAAAAATAATTAGTGTTTGGAGCCAAGATGGTGGCGTGAGTAGAGCAGCGGAAATCTTCTCCCAAAACCATATATATCTATGAAAATATAACAAAGACAACTCTTCCTAGAATAAAGACCAGAGGACACAGGACAATATCCAGACCACATCCAAACCTGCAAGAACCCAGCGCCTCGCAAAGGGGGTAAGATACAAGCCCCAGTACGGCGGGACCCGAGAGCCCATCCCCCGAGCTCCTGGCAGGAGGAGAGGAGTCAGCAGGGAGGGAGAAGGAGCCCAGGACTGCTGAACACCCAGCCCCAGCCATCTGGACCAGAGCGCAGACACAGTGCATGCGTGGAACCCTAGATACTAGGGAAACAGGGCAGCAAGAATGGTGAGCGGGTACTGGAGGCAGGCGCCGGAGGACAAAAGAAAAGCGAGCAGCCATTTTTTCTTCCTATAGTGAGTGCTTTTTGGAAGTCTTAAAGGGACAGGGACCCCAATAGTAAGGAAACAGGGCAGCAAGACCTGAGGTGAGCAGGTATATCAGAGTCCAGCACCAGACAAAAAAAGAAAAGCGAGCGGCCATTTTGTTGTTGATGTTTTGCTGTGGTGAGTCTTTTTGGAAGCCTTAAAGGGATAGGGACCCCAATACTAGGGAAGCAGGGAAGCAAGACCAGCAAGCGGGTATCGGAGGCTGGCGCCGGAGAACAAAAGAA